TCTCGTAGTTTTGGTTCATCGTCGGGTTTGAAATCTCGATCGGATTTGTCTGTATCAACATCACTTGAGCTCGATGGCGGGTTCAAAAGACAGTCTTCAAAACCTCTGTTTAATAACTCTCCTTGTACTGAGCCTTGGGTTCGATAAACTGTCTTACCAGGACTTCTATAGTGGAACTTTTTGTGTCCCGAATCATCTTGAACAACTTCTGTTTCCCAATTCACTGGAAGGACAAATTGCTGTCTAGAGCCGACTCCTTCACCTCTAGCGATAGAGCCACGTCTTCCTTTTTTCTTTCTTTGCTCAAAAAGCTCTCTCTTAGTTAGTTTTCTACGTTTTTGCACCAGTTCACAAGTAATATCAGAGTATCATGAGGTGTTGGGTCACTGTTGTGTTACACAAAGAATGACGCATGCGCATTTTCAATGTTTTGGTTAACACCTAGCAACGGGACAAAAATCAATCGATATATTACAAAAAAATCGATAATTTGTTTCTGCAATCATATCGAGCAGCGGATATTGTTAAAAAATGGCGGAATGATGTATCCTGCAGCGCCTGAGGCAATTTATATAGCATTTTCACTATATAATTAGGGTTTTTTGCGTATTGCTGGCGTATTGCTGCCAGACAAATTCATTTTTCTTGGCAATGATTTAGAATTTTGACCTGAAATTTTCACAAATAGACGATGAGATGTTTGCAGAGAAGACTGTGCTTGGGTCACTCTATTGGATTCGTTCTTTGGGATTGCGGACTTTCGGAAAATCGTTAATTAATAACTTAGCGAATATTTAACCGATTACGTGCCCCAAGCACAGTTTTCTTCTTTTACTTGTAGGAATCGATATTTTGTAAAATATACAAGCACATGTTGTATACTTTCGGAGAAAAATGGGTTTAAAGTCAAATTTGTACATTTTGTTTAATCCAATTAACACCTCTACTTAAATTTTAACACCTCAAAATGTGAAAATTCGAAATAAGCAAATGTCAACCTTTCCATCAGTATGTTTGGTTCTATTTGGATTGTAAATCTTTCACTAGAAAATCCTTCCAAAATGACCCATTTTAGCCAGGGCAAGTACCTTAACAAATTAAGCTTACTGGGGGGAACAAATTGAAAAGTTCTGGGTAGTTTAGCTGCAGGATAATAAGATTAAATAAACAACTTCACTTCTGAAAATAAATGAGTGATATTATTATAGTGATAATGTTATAATATTATATGAGTGAGTTTACTAGTGATATTTTTAATACCGAGCTTTCGGCCTAAGCGTCCATTATCAAGGTACACGTAAGATTTTAAACAACGCAAAAAACGGAAAGCGCGCGAGGAAACAYAGCAGTACAGCGCGAGCTAATTACAATAGATAAAATGTAAAATGAAATGGATTGAAATGAAATGGAGTGAAAAGAAATGAAAGACATGATAGTGAAGCAATTAGATATATATGTAACAAAAAACTTAAATGAACTTAAACTAGACGCTTGTATAGCGTGATGCGGGCTAGCTTAGCAAAAGATTTACAATACAAGATAAAAATTGTATCTCCAATGAATATTGTGACTATGACGTAACTATATATGAAAGTAAAATATGCCGTCGAATACCTTTTAGTATGGTTATCGATTTTCAATTTAGCATGACAAAAGACAAAAAAAAACACAAAAAAGTACTTACCTTGAATGATCTTCGACTTGTTTGTCAAAATCCTTCAAATAATATATCATTTCAAAGCTCTAGGTTTGACGATTGCTAAAATGCCCGACAAAACGTCATTACTTGTATCCAGTTCCCTTAAAACTCTGTCAGAAATGGACGAAATATGAACAGAGGCGTAGTTTCTAACCCAGCGTACTTTGCGCGCCGCCAAAATCCGCCATATTGGATGTTTGGACCCACGAATCAGAGATCGATTGAGGGGGTGGTTTGGCCCCAGTGTGGTCTGTCTTGGCTTTTTTCTTTATTGATTGTGCCATGGTCGATTTCCTGGCCGTCCAGTTGATACTTTGTGTCTCGACGCTTTATGCTTTGTAGAAGTACACTCATCTCTTCGTCTATTTCTGCACCATGCGGTTCTTGCTTGTATTATGCGTCGGATCTATACGAGGTTTCTCCGGCACGGTATTCGTCTTCTACAAATGACACAGTGGAGGAGTCGTCTCTGCGAAAAAGTAATTTTATTG